ATCCTCTTTAAATTAACATGTGACTATTTTTTTTGGATGTTCTATTTTTATGATAAAATTTAACTTAAAAATATATAAATAATATGTTAAATTGAGTTAGATTTATGTGTGACTATTAGTTTTTCAGCACTATGTGAATACCTTTTTTTTTATGTTGAAGGTGATGAGTGTGGTAATTAATATTAAACTTTGCCAATTTTTTTCTTTTGATAGTGAAGGTGGTGAATGTGGAAATTAATATTAAACTTTGCCAATTTTTTTTCAAAAATATGTTAAATAACTTATACCTAAGTGTATGTTTTTTTTTAATTTTAATTTTAATTTTAATTTTTAATATTCAGTAGAAAAAAAAAAGAAAAAGAAAAAAGATATGTCTCTTTTCATTATTTTTGAAAACATCAAGTGTTTTGTTTGTTGTCTAAAGTTAATCCAAGTGACTTTAATTTTGTTTGAAATTCTTTGAATTAACATGTTAAAGTGTTTTTAAAATACTTTAATTTCAAATAATAGTATAAATGATATGTTGAATTGAATTATGTTTATATGTGACAATATTTAGTCTGTATTATGTGAATACCTTATTTTGAGGGTGATAAGTACTGAAAAGTGTACATTTAAACCCTCAATCTTAGGTTTAATAGTACCTTTATCTATCTTTAACTTTCCATTTTAGTCTTAATTTGTTTTATTTCCAATTTTAGGTTCTTAAGACTTAAACGAGCTAAATCCAATATCTTAAGGCCCTTGGGAAGTCAAACTGAATCTTGGTGAGAAGCTGGAGTTAAAAGGAAGCTGAATTGAAAATTTTCTACTTGGAATGATCGGAGAACGATTGGTGAACGATTGTAATACCGCTATTTTTAAAAGAATAGTCTCGGTATTTATTTATTTATTTTAATTACATTTTTAATTGTTTAATTGATTATTTAGCTAATTGCTTATGTGTTTAATTGATTTAAGTGTTACTTAATTAATGGGCTATTTATTTATGTGGTATTTGTATTATTTGTTTAATTAAATTGTGTTCTTTAATGATGTGAATTAATTGTAATTTTATTTGGTAGATTAAATATTTATTTTATTTTATTTTAAAGAATGGATATGGATAGTAGTAATAGATTAATCAATCTAGTCACATGAATTACTTGGATAGGATGCTAGATGGGTATAGATAAGTACACATGGATAGTTGAATATGTATATATGTATATATATTTAACGATAGTTTATTCTTTTTACTATTATTATTATTTGTAAATTATTGATTATATTAATATTAAATAAGTCAGATTATATATAGAGAGATATATATAATTACAGATATATATTTGTATATCACGACTATGGTTAATTTGTATTATTATCTTTTTATTATATTTTCTTTTCTTTTTTTTCTCCGTTAGCAAACTTGGAGTGCATATAGGATTAGGGTTAAATTGTGAGCCTAAATATATATATATAAGTATAGGTTTGTGGGAGGAGGCTTTTATATTATTACATGATATATGGTATATAGAGAAGAGAGTTATACAGAGAGTAAAGAGAGAGATAGAGAGAAACTGAGAGAAGGAAGAGGGAGTTCGGCCAAGAGGGTTGAACCGAGGGGGAAGAAGAAGAGAGGGTTATTCATGGATTAGGATTGAGCAGCAGAGGGCTTCGACGGCAGCCAAGGAGTCGCCGGAAAAGTTAGGAAGAAGAAGGTTAAGGTTTTAATCCAAAACCTAAGGCAAGTTCTTCTTCTAACTCTCTCCTTTAGATTTCATGTTCTATACATGCCTAGGAAATTTCAGGGTTAATTAGATAATAAATTGACCATGTATGCATGCTTAAATTGAATTAAAATAGATTTTTTGTGTTGACACACGTTCTTGCTTAATCTTGATATTTGTTGTATGAAACCTTGTTTTGATTCATGTTTAAGATGCATATTACCTTCATATAATTTTTTAGGGATTAATTGGGACTTAGTTCAGACCTTTAGGACCCTTAACGGAGAAGAACGGAAGGTTCGAAGGTTGCCAGAGACAAAGAAGACGGAGAGTAGCAGGTTGGGAGGCGGCTCCCTCTTGGAAGGAGATGGCTCCCTAGGACCGAGGCAGCTCCCCCTTGGAGGGAGTCGGCTCCATGAAGGAGAGAGGTGGCTCTCTCTAGGAGGGAGGTGGCTCCCTTGTGGACAGACCATGCTCCCTTGCTGGAAATTTGTAGAAATTGGTTTTTAAGGTTTTGTTTTGGGTTTTGGGGTTTTCTAAGGTTGCTTAGACAGTAACGGGGGTTTTAAATGACTACTATGTACATGTTAAATACCTAGAATGCATAATTTATATTTATATGCTAACGATTTCAACAATATGAAATTTTAATGAAATTTACATGTTGTTAATGGAGGTTTTAATTGCTTAAAATTATTTTAGCAATTTATATGGATGTTATATGATTTTAATCATGCATTGGCAGTATAATATGATCATGTATTTTGTCTGATCTTATTATGCTTATTTATAGATTTATTTGATGTAGTATTATATTTGTTACATCATTTATGGATTGTATGCATTATATACACTACTATGGGATGGGGGCATATTAGGGATGGATTAACTAAAAACGTTAAGTTCTACATATTCATATTTTTTTAGGGTTGGATTAACTAAAATGTTAATTCCTACCTATTCGTGTCAGGTCAACGAACAGTTGGATGACATATCATGGTTTACTTTTATGTTTAGATATAACGGATTTTATATATGTATAGATATGTGTGATAAGCGTCGAATATTGCATATTCTAGCGCCCTTATTTGCATTAGTTAAGTCCATTAGTTGATAATAATGTGTAGTTTAGCTTTATTTGTTTGTTTTCGTTTACTTTCAGGTCGGTTCCTCCGAATGTGGCTAAAGGAACGATTTTGACAATCTTTTGAAAAATCAAAGCAAGCCGTTGTTGGGGATTGTTATTTGAGCCAAGTTTCTTGAGCCATCATGTGTATGAATGTTGCAGCATTGCATTCAAAATGATGACAGCGTCACTAGACCAACCAAGGTGGCTAAAGAGAAGGCTGAGAGTTTTTGAAGTCAAAGCTCCGCGGGCGGGCGCCCGCCAATCATGCCAGTAGGTCGCCTTCTTCCGCGGGGCCCCACAGCCTCCGCGTGCCCCACCGTAAGTTCCGCCGGCGCCCGCCGCGCCATCGAGGGCGCCTGTCATTTTGTCCAGTGAGCTCCCTCGAATCCTAAGAACCCGTGGGAGCCCGCCGGCGCACCGCGGGCCCCCACCGATCTACAGGTAGCAGATCACCTGCTCCTGTTTTTGTGCTGAATCTTGTTCCCTATGAAATTTTTGTGGTCCAGATTGCTTCTAGGGTGGTTGGAGCTCGTGATGGAGTGGATTGAAGTAGGTTTTTGCCTAGATAAGAGGGGGAGGCTTGTATTTTTTCCATATCTCACATTTTGGTTTAAGTTTTAGAAGGAAAAATAGGAGTTTTGAGAGGGTTTGTGTGTTCTTGGAGCCTGAGTTGCGAAAAATGGAGAGGGGATCTTCTTCTTCTTCTTCATTCCTTGTATCCATGGGTAACTAACTCCCTATCTAGGGAGTGATGAAGCCCCATTTTGTAAGCATTGCTTTGTTTTGATTTATATTTGGGGTTTAATGTACATATGTGACTTTTCCATGAACTAGAGCACTTTATTTGATGTAAAGAACTTCAATGTCTATAAATGATCATTTTGAGTTAAATATCTTGTCTTAAATTGTTTTTCTCTCATGATTATCTTGCTACATTTTCATAGTGACAATGGAGATGAGTTTATGGAAGTGTTTTTATTGGCATGATAATTAAGAAATTTGATAATTTATTGCTTAGGCCCTTTCTTTGATAGATTATTCTTGATTTATATTTCATGTGCTTTTATTATGAGATTAAGGGCTTGATAATCTTTGGCTTAGTAAGCATGTCTAAGGTTGCATCCTAGTTTAAGTAACCAAAACATGTAATGCTTTGATAGGTTATTTTTGCTTATTGATTTCATATATTCCTTGAAGGTAATGTAACAATTTTATGTTGTTGCATTCCATGGTTATATATATATATATGTTATTTTCCCAAATAAATCATGTCTTCGCATGCTTATTGATTGGTACACTACAACATATTAGGTTTTTACCAGCGCTTCTAGAAAAAGCGCTGGTATAGGTCTAATATTACCAGCGCTTTTTTTAGAAGCGCTGGCATAAGTGTAATGGTACCAGCGCTTTTCCTAAGAGCGTTGGTATAGGTGTAATCGTGGTGTAATCGTACCAGCGCTCTTTGTAGGAGCACTGGTATAGGTGTAATCGTATATACCAGCACTTTTAGAAAAAACGCTGGTATAGGTGTGATCGTACCAGCGCTTTTTTTAAAAGTGCTGGTATATGTGTAATAGTACTAGTGTTTTTTGTAGGAGCGCTGGTATAGGTGTCCCCATTTTTTTTCCCTTCCCTCCATTTTTTCCCTCCATTAATATATATAGATAATTTGGGCCCTAAAACTACGTCGTTTTGTGGGGAATTGACATTGTATTCTCCATTTTCCTATTTCATTTTGCAATAGCCCTAATCCATCAGCCGTTCTCTCGCCACGGTCTCGCCCTTCCATCACCGGTCGCGCCTTTCATCACAACTCTCTTATCACGCCGTTCTCTCGCCTTCCATCTCAGCCGTTCTCTCGCCTTCCATCTCAGCCATTCTCTCGCCTTTCATCACAGCTCTCTCATTACGGTCTCGCCCTTCCATCACCGATCGCGCCTTTTCATCACCGGTCAACGATTTGAACTTCTTCAAGTGAAAGCTTGAACCATCACTCTCTCTGTCTTCCTATTCCCAACCCAACCATTCCTATTCCAGACATCATCTAAGTAGATTTTGAAGCAATTTGGCTTCGAGTGCGTAGGAGAAGAAGTGCCGTCATCAAGACGGGAATGCGGAAATAGCCAAAGCAGTACACAAGATCAGGTGGGTTTGATCATGTCAATTTATAGAATGAGAATTCTTATACAAATATTGCTTAAAGGCACTTCTGTTTATTTATCAAGTATTATATGAACTTTCAACGATAAGCATTTATTTTGACTCTAATTTGATAAACAATGAAAATTATTACTCTCCCCCATTTTCATTGATTTTCTTTTCCCGTGTTTATAATTCTAAGTACGAATCATGAAACCATACTTTCGAGTTGATGAGGAATGAAATTTGTTGACAACTTAGCGACCAGAGAATTTGGGAGCACAACTATGATCATTGCGTAGTGTTCCAGTGTAATAGTTTTCTCAATGTCAAAATGACTCTAATTTGTTTTAAGTTTATTTTAGGAACTTTGGAAAAGTATAGAATTTACTTGGGTTTATGAGACCAGATGTAATGATTTGGTTTTGTTGCATACGAACTATAGTTACTTTTTCTAATTGAAGATAAAATTTGATTTATGAATATGGTATTGTTGCCTTCTCAATAAATCCTTATTTGGAGAAATTTGGCTGGTTGTGGGATTAGCAGAGGAAACGAGCAGATGCTGTTGTCATGAGAAAATGTTTTAATCTACTTGGAATTGAACCTGTCTACAGGATATAATTCTCAACAGTTAATTGAATGTTTTTTAATATGTAGTTCTGGGCATTTTAAGGTGTAAAGCTGTGTCCTTGCAAAAAAGAGGTGTTTGGTAGTCCATTAAGAAGCAGCATCATATACATGCTTAATATTATATATTGCTGTTATATGATATATATGTTTTCACGTCAGTACTTCTAAAAAAGATGGAATCTATATTTAGTCGTGGACTATATTTTTGAATCATAGAGGGTGTATGCTTAGAAGAATATTAGTAAATGTCGGATCTATTTATTAGACAATGGCAAAGGACTGTTATGTTAATGCTCCAGGTGATACAAACAGGAAGCTCCGGGTTTGGAATCACAAACTTATACATTATCAAAATAAACATGAACAACAAGTATATAACATAATTGTGAATAGAAAATCAAGTGGAATAATTCTAAATGCTAGTAAATAAACGCGCGCGCGCGCGCGCACACACACACACACATATATATATTAATGATATATATAGTATATAACAGTAGCAGAGGATGTCTTATTCTGCCTCTAGAAACCCTGACAGGGATCTAGATCCAATTGACTTGCTTCCTTCGCGAAAACATGAACAACAAGGCAACACCATATATAAAATATGTGTCTCGTGGTCTCTCTTACATTATTAGAGTCCCATTTGACTGATTCTTTTGTAGAGATCACATAATTGTGAATAGACAATGTGTTCCTTTCAATTATAAGAAGAAAAAAAATGAACTTGAAAATTAATTTCCTTTGGCAATTCCAATAATATATATAAAGATTCTGGTTGCCACTGTTTGGATTGGTAGTTTATCATTATACTGTCTGTATAATCATCGATCTCTTTTTTTTTTTTTTTTTTTTTCCCCTGAAATTCAAGCAAATAAAAAAATATAGGGGTGTATAATCATCTTTGTTATATACTTGAAAGGTACATACATGTATATAATGAATGTATATCCTTATAATTTTTTTATATGTATTAAATATATTTTTAACAATACAAGTATGCTTCATGAACCTACTAATCCTTATTTTAAGGTTACATTTCTATTATCTATTGAAAATGATATATAAGAAAAAGTTGTATGTAAATGTACTGTTTTATGTTAGAGGTCAAGAAATACGCCTCTTGATTCTTGAATATGGACCTAAATTTTTTGAATTTAATGAAATGTCGAGGTAAGTGCCGATGTTGAACACCTCTATCCTTTTAGTTTCAAATAAGTTGTTCAGAATGTTCAATGCATTTTTCTGTATCGCCTTTGCACTTCTCACTTGTGTTGAAAGGTCTAACAGCAAGCCACCTTATTTCTTGCCTAGGCTGGAAATTTTCGCTCTAAATAATTAAAGTACATGTTATATACATAGTACACACACACACACACACACACACACACACACATAAAGAGAGTGTATGTATGGACCATATCCCATGTGGGGGTGATCAGCATCCTCCGTGTTCCATTACATAGAAGATTCTGAGATTGGGTGTGAAAACAGTAGTTTCAAGGTTGAAAGTACTTATCTCCACATCTGCACTTCCAAGAGAGAAGATAGTAGTTCTCATCTTGTATAGCTGCTTGTTTCCTGGAATTATATTTGGTGTGGGGATGAGTAACTAAAGCAGCTATGCAAGGTCTGCAACCAAGGCACCTTTTCATACACTGAGGGGACCTTGAACCCAACACACCTTTCATTTGCCTCATACCCACAATCTCCTCTAGGCTCTAAATACAAGTATGCTTCATGATAGACAAGGTCTAATTTTGGCCTCTACTAATCCCAACATCTAGATATATTTTAAGGTTACATTTCTATTATTTTTTTAACCAATTTTTTTGCATTCAACTTTTTCTTATATATCATTTTCAATATATAATATAGCCAATTTATTCAATTTTCTTGCTGTTGTATTGTGTTGCATTTTAATGAAAAACAATATTTTTTTTCTAATAATCAATATCCAAATGTGCATATGGGTGTTTGGGCATATGTAAATAATTACTTGGTCAGATTACAAAACTTGGTGGGAGATGCCTAAACGGCTGAAGGAGGATATGTGGAACGTTGTAAAGGTAAAACCCTTCAATGATATTAAAATAATTTTTATGGAAAAAGTGGATTAACATGCAGCAATTATCACATTTTCAGGGAAAGTATGATGTGGGAATCCTGTCAAAACATTGGACAATATCCTTCATCGGAAAAAAATGGAGGGGCTACAAGTGTGAATTAAAAAGTGAATATTACTCGGTTAGGGATACAGATGCAGAAAGATTGGCAAACCCACCACCTGATGTTGAAAATGAGCATTGGGAATTTTTAGTTAGGCATTGGGGTACACCTATTGCGAAGGTAATCCTCCATCTACCAATTTTGTTTAAAGTCAATGAGTTGAATTTATAATTTACCTGCTTTCAGTCATTATTTTAGGTGGAATGTTAGAACGTTTACTTTTTCTCACTTTTTGTAGGAGGTCAGTAAAAAAAACAAAGAACGTCGTGGGAAGCAGACAATGATGCATACTACAGGGACAAAAAGCTTTGCACGTGTTTCTGCCGAGGTTAGTTGAAGTTTTGGCAATATAAATTATTTCAGTTCTTATGTCGTTGAATGATTATAAATGTTAGTGGTAAATAATAGTATATATCACAATGTCTATGTTTCTTTTATAGATTGAGGAAGATGAAGGTATTCAGCTTTCTCGTGCAGATTTATTCATTCGCACACATGTAAATAAGGATGGCAAAGCTACTGATGCTGTTGCTTCGGAGATGATTGTAAGTTTTCATGCTTCCATTTTGCAAAAAGGGGGTCATGTGCCTTGAAGTGACAAATTTTTTAACTCTTTGCGGTGTATTAGGGGGTCACATGCCTTAAAGTGACCAATTTTTAAATCATCGGCCCGTGTGGAGGCATTTTAATTTCATTATTTATCATCAGCCCGTGTGGAGGCAATTTACTTTCTTGTATTTGTTGAAAAGTATGGGAGTATGGGATCATTGTATGTGGAGGCTTCTTGTTGATTGATTTGTGTTGTGGAGAAGTATTTGCTATTTGTTGTTTGTGTCAATGTGTCAATCATATTCTCCCCAACATGTATTTAATTTCCATTAACACTTGTACTCTATTTGTTCTCTCATCTTTTCTTTGTTTCTAAGTTTTATTGCTTCATCCTTGTTCTACACCTAGTAATTCTTGGGAAATTATTGACACAATGTGAAGTTCTTTACATTTTTAGATTTTTGGTTCTGTTGAAGTTGTGTTCAGTTTATTAAATTCTACTATATTGACATTGAGTTCATTTTCTAAAATTCTACTTCTATTGTATGACCTTGCTGGTGTGTACTATTACTGCTATATTAGGATTGTCATTGAGTTCTTCTTTGAACATCCCGTGCTTGTCCTTGAATATGTTAAACACATCTGTTGAAACCCAAAATTGTTGGTTGAGAACTGATTGATAACTTAAAAATCACAATCAAGTTAGGGTAGGAGGAAAAGAAAATACACTTCACCATTTAATTATTGGGAAATTAAATCATTCATACAAGATAGAAACACACCAAGGAGACATTCATTGATTTTACGTTTTTTTCTTCCTTTTGTTGATTTCTTGAGATTCAAGTTTTTGAAGATTTTGTGAAGACCAATAATGGAAAGGGAGATAAAGGGAGGAGAGAAAATTAATAAAGTATGTTCTGATTCTAAAACTCCATCTGGAATCTCAAATCTAATTACAAGATATTGCAATAATAAGAATGGAGGAAAAATTCGGATAGAAAATCAAATGAAAGAAATCAAGATGGAGACTAAAGTGGAATAATAATAATATATCCTTTAATTTGAACCTCAAACACTTCGTGTGACGGCCCAAGTTTTGTAAACCCGGTGCGTCAGTGATGACCAAAAGATGACCCGATAACGGATCCGAAATGGGGAAGCGAAAGGTGAAACAACGGTCTCTAGAGATACAATGCGTCTCTAAGACACCAATGTGACGCTCAATGAGGTCATGGAACCCAAAGAAAAACAAGTGCGGAAGTGTCGTTTCAAAAACGGACAAAAAAGAACCTAGGGGCAAAATGGTCATTTTGCAAAAAAAATGGATTCAAGTGCTATCGAGCACACCACTGGGAAGACAATGAAAAACTAATGATGATGGACTCAAGAATTTCATTATCCAGATTCCGGACGAAGGAGAAACGACAAAACAAAGAAAAACGAGCAATAAAGCTAAAAGGGTAAACTGGTAATTATTCAAAAATATCTGGGTGCAACCGAGCACACCGTTGGATAGAAAATGAAAAATTAATCAATTTTAAAAAAAAAAACTCACTTGATTTGGAGTCCGGATGAGGGAGAAAGGTCAAAAACAAAATCGACGTCGCGGCGGCCCGACGAAGGCCGTGACAGCTACAGTGCCATCAACCCACTACTGCTGCAACTGAGAGTAAAAACGGGCATCTAAACGGACTTTTCTGGAAAAACTCGAAGAAGAAACCCCCCCCTAAAATCAAGTTTTCTACCCGACACAAGGACGGAAACCAAAAAAATGCATTGTAAAATGTCCAAAATACCCTCAAGAAAATCAGGTCTAGAGGTCAAAAATCGTTCCAAGCTACTGTCCAAAGAAAGGAAATGGGGCTTCGGAAGGTTTTTAAATTGCCTAAATTGAAAATGCAATCTTAAAATACACCCACAAGACCCCCGGAAGTTTCGGATCGATCGTCACGCTTTTCAAAAAAAAGTCGATGAATAGTACCAGTATATTTGCACTAAAGTCGGCAAAAAACTGGCAGCAATGATTTTTTGGAAAAAAAAAGAGATTTTTGAGGGCCAAGATGACAGTTTTTGGAAAAACACAAAGAAGAAACTCCCCTCAAAATTGAGTTTTCTATGTGACTTGCCAGGAAAAATGAAAAAAACGCATTTTGAAATACCCGAAATTCCCCTAGAACAGAATAGGGTAAAACTTTCTAAAAATGCTACTTAGAGTCTTTGTTTCATCAAGGATGGTTTTGTTTGCCAAAGTGAGCATGCAAGCATATGTAATGTGATAAAATAGATATGTTGCAATGGCCTATGGCCTCATGGCATGTCATATGCAAAATAGAACCCTTCAATGCATTAATCCACATATCTTCCATAGGCAACAATGAAGTTCAAAGTTAGCATACATTTCACATAAGTGTCTTTGGCCCTTGGCCTCATTACAACCACATTCTAAAAGTGTCAAAAGGTGCACTTAAGTGCACATTACATAACTTAGACAATAAGTACAAGTTTTATTAAAGTAAGCAAAAGTAGGATAGGATATGCTAACATATGCATATTCTATGTCATTAAAATATACTTCAAGAACTCTAGTGAGTCTAAGAATGCTGTGCATCCCACACTAAGGCTTCTTTACCTGCAAAACACCCATTAACTTAGGGGTGAGTAAACAAGTTTACTCATAGGGAATGCATTGGTTTATCTTTGTACCAAGTTACAATCCAATACCATTTAATTCATGCTATCAAGTGACAATAGAACTTTCAACATAACACAATGAGATGTAATTTTACAAAGTTAACAACTTGGAATTTAAATGCAAAATCAAACCAAAGTGGATACTTGGACGTCACGCCGGATCAAACCAACAATGTGGTTACTTTAGGGTTACTAGCCCATGGGTAACCTCCCTATGTGCGCACTAGACTTGTAGAGGGACTTTCCCCCATACTAGAACCATGCCCTAGCCATAGTCATAACAACGACATCCCCAAGTTTCTAAAATCAACATTTTGTGCACATTACATATATGTATCAACATAACATATATATATACAATGTAAAGCCATCAACATGCACAAATCAATTTTGGAAACACAATACATGCCCTAAGTTCTCAACTAAAATGGCATGAAGAATATTGAATGATTATTATGCAATTTGCCACTAACTACAACAATATCATTCAACAACAAGAATATAACCTCACAAGTATGATATAAGTTTAAAATCATAATTTAAATAATTTAATAAAACAACTAAATTTCCTAGATTTCACTTCTCATCCAAACATGCTCAATTTAATATATGTTGTAGTACATGTCATGGTTATTATATAAATCACTTCAAACTTGATTTAAGTCATGGGAGCATATAAATAAAAATTAATTAAATTAATTCATTAATTCCTCTAGATTTTAAAACAACTCTAAATGACCTCAAATTAACATAAGTTATGAATCAAACCATGGTCATGTTATTTATCAAGTCTAAAGTGAATTACATACAAGTCACAATTAATCATTTATTTCTCATTTTAATACAAGACAAACATCTAACTTAGATATCACTATAGGAACAAATAAAATCACTTGGAAGATAAATGATAACACCCCCTACCTTAATAGAGAATTGAATCTCTATAATCCAAGCAACCAAGCTCAAAATGGAAAACAAGTTTAAGGTTAATGAAGAGGGGAGTGAGAAGAAGTTTTTGTCTTCCAAGGTTTTATGTCTAAGGTGAGTGGAAGGAGGCCAAAATGAAGAAAAAAGTTATTAACCAAGCTTTTCTCCAATGGTGGCTAGGTTATGGTTCTTGAAGACAAGTGAAAATGAAAATGATAAAGTGTAAAATGGTGAGTGGAAGGGTTAGAAATCCTCCACTCACTATGTGCTCTTACACTACCTCTCTCACACACATAATGTAAGACTAAATGGTGAACCTACACTTGTCATGAATCTATGGTTCATTCATAGGTTTAATCTCAAGCCTACACTTGTCACTATCCTATGTAAACTTCCAAGACTTAATATTAAACTTACATTTGTCAACCATCCATGCCAATAAGTGTACCAATCCTAGGCCAACAAGTGGGTGAATCTCCACCCTCCACATGTCATCATCCAAGGCATCAAAGTGTTTCCACACAAATGTCAACAAGTGAACCAATGAGAGTGTGACACTTGTCACACTTTCCGAAAATTGCAAACAAGTCCTTTTTGAAAATATCTTCCAAATTAAATTGCAAAATGGTCTCTAAGACGAAAAATAATTACTTTACTTAATTACCCAAAAAATCTTCAAGTTATGGATAATCACAAAAGTCTTGTTTTCATGGCATTTAATATGCATTTCTACAAAAGTAAAAATGTAGATGTCATGGAATTTAAATACCATGAATGCATGCAAAACCGGAATCAAATTCGAGCACAACAAGTAAGGTTATGCAAGGAAAAACGAAAGAAACGGGAAAAAGACGAAATAGGGAAAAGACAAAATAGGAAAAAGATGAAAAAAGAAAATCGCCAAAAATGAAAAAGGAGGAAAATGGCCGGGTCATTACACTTCGTTAAGTTTGCCCGCATTCTATGAGTTTAGGTAACAATCATTTGATTTAATGTGGAATCTCAAATCAAATGATTGTTATTACTTATAGTTATAAGTGTTGCTTTGGATATATTTAGGTCAATTTTTGTTTCGTCTTTAGGTGTTAATTTGAATTTCGAAGTTGAATGACACAATGATGAAGAGGTTTTTAAAGTAAAAGGGGAACTAGAAAGGGAAAGTGATTCACAAATGGAATTTATAGCAGAAATAATTTTCAAAATTTTGATATTAATAAGCTCATTTATGGTCATTTCTTGTAAACTGAAATTAGTTTCGGTGACCACACCTCTTAAGTTCTCGTTCTATTTGTGTGTGTGTCAAGTTCAGAATTTCTGTTTATATATAATTTGGTTGTTGTGTTTTGGTGAGAAGGATATGTTCATTGCAAAGAATGCTTAAAAAGTTCATTAGTTGAAGATTAGGAGGAATCTAAGTCACACAGTTCATTTATTCGTTAGTGGGTCTTATTTAACCTTTCTTGTATACTCACATAAAGGCACTCGATTGAAAAAGAGAAAACACATGTAACTAAATCACACGAGGACCTCTCGTTCTTTTCTGTTTTTGATAAGTAAAATATAACGCAAGTGTTGGACTGTTGGAGGGTGAGTAGTGTGACACAAGGACCTCTCATTCTTAAAATGTTTGTAAACATGGTGCTGGGGCGCACACGGTTAGGATTGGATTAGTTTTAGGATTAATGGAAACCAATCAGCTCTCTACAGTTTCAAGAAATTTGAAACCGAACCGAACCTATCACTCCATCTATTCTGAACCAATCTGAACCGTAAGAGAATGGATTGGATTGGTTCGGTTTGGCAGTTTGGACCTTAATAGAGACCTCATTTTCAGAAAATTCAAGAACTACCTTCTAGCCAAACATAGAGTAGAACTCAAAAGATAGAATGTTTTGCAGATTTGTATCCTAATACTAACAAAATTCAACAAACGATAGAATGTGCAAAAAGATGGGGGTTTCGCATGCTAATAGCCTAATACTAACAAAATTCAACAAAATTTTGACCCTAAAAAACCTCAACCAAAGTTGTTGAAATGCATATATTAGAACTCAAAATCCAAACTTCATTTGATAAGTCAATTAATAAAAATTAATAAATAGGATTCATTTGAATAAACTAGGATGAGAGGAATGATTGAGTGTGTGTGAGAGATAGAGATTGTGTGTGTGCAACACGATGGTCGATTTTGATGCGACAATGGTTTATGACCGGCCAAAGTGAAGGAGAGAAGTAGCCTTGGAGGTTGGTGAGCTCGGCCAAGTGAGCAGTTGAGGGTGACGGTAAAGAAGAGCGGCAGGGAGCAGTCAAGGGGTGCAGCTCTGTTGCTATGAGAAGAATGATTTAGGGCTCGAATCTTTTAGTTAAGAAATTGTTGAATATATATTGGCTGATCAGGTGTAGGCAATTCCATGGTATGTAGTGTAGACAACCATATATATATTTATATATAATGCACTGATTGGTTTGGATTTTTCTACCCTCAATCTATGAACTGAACTAATCTAGACTTTTTTTATTTTAAAATTGAACCGAACCGAACTGAACCGATAATCCTTTAAAACCAAACCAATCCCTATGGATCAGATTGGGTCGGTTTTGTTGTGTTTTTTTTGCACCCCTACATGGTGCTAATGCCTTTGCTGATTTGCTTGCATCCAATGAATTGAGAATTTTGACGTACAAAGGAAAATACCATAACTGATGTTTCACAGATCAAGGCCGGTATGATGGAGTCGCGAAGGGAGTAATGATAGTAGCACTTAAAATTTTGTAAATAATTATAACGTAGTATGAATTATTTATGAATGATATCCAAATAATCTTAAGGAAGTTCCTTATCAAATCCATCTGAGACAACACCTTGTGATTAGCAAGATGGACAATGGGACAGTTAACATAATCTTTCTCGATAGATTTTCCCTACCAACAATTTGTCATTAATGTTGTGGCCATTCAAGAAAGTGACATTTTTCTTTTTTGGCAGGAAAACATAAAAGAACTTCAAAAAAGTTACTCTGACTCGCCTATTGGCAGTTCCAATGATTTGTTCTCCATTGTGAGGGGAGAAGAGAGAACTGGTCGTGTGCGGATGCTTGGCTTCGGGCCTACACCAAGCGATGTTTGGGGCCCTCTCCTAGTAAAGCTGAACTGATTAATAATGCAAAAAAATCTGATGAGGAGGCACGTGCTGTACGCGTAGAGTTGCACGAGACCATTTCAAAAATGTAAGCCAACTATGACAACAAGTTGGAAAATTTACGAGCCAACTATGATGACAAGTTGAAAAATTTACAACAACAGGTGGCTATCCTAATGCAGATGTAACAACAAAATTGTAGTGGACATGTATATTTATTATTAGTTTTATTCTTTACTAAATATATGTTTACTTGTGCCAAGATTTTATGTATTTTGTTTTCTTATTTTGAAGGGTTCTGATTCGTTAAATGCTCCTCCTAGAGTATCCCCAAATTCATTATCTAGTCGTGATGCCAATTCAGTTAAGGTTATGAAATTTTAATTTCTCTTATATATATGTTAAATTTTCATTTATTATAATGTGTGCGTAATGAATTTATAAAAAATGTAGGGTAATTCAAATCAAATGGGCAAGAAGACTTGTTGAAGTTGAAGACAGGGTTGTGTTTGTGTTTTTTGAATTTCCTTCGCCTTGGATGGGTTCTTTTTGAAAAACTTGTACTACATTTGTCAAAAATTGTTAATTATTTTTGTCTGACATTTAGTAGCTTTATTTAGACAATTTGGATGGTATATTGGCAGGTTAACTTGTGGTTGTATTAGTATACATTTTTGCTTTTTGGTTGACATTTACCAGCTTAACTTGTGGTTGTATTAGCAGCAAATTTTGATGGTAATTTTCATATTGGCAGGGTTAACTTGTGGTTGTATTATGTAAAAACAATTTGGACGGTACTTTTATATTAACTTGTGTTATATTGGATGACATTTAGTAGTTGGTAGTATTGATATGTTTTTTCCAAAAACTATAAGGGTAATAATAATAATAAATAAAAAATAAAAAAAAATAATCCCTTTACCAGCTCTCTTTTAAGAAGCGCTGGCATAAAGAGGGAGGGAAAAAAAATTTAAAAAAAAAATTTAAATTACCCTTTACCAAAAAGCGCTGGTAAAAACATTCTACCAGCGCTTTTTTCAAAGGTGCTGGTAAAGTACTTCTACCAGCGCTTTTCCAGAAAGCACTGGTAAATACTTTATACTAGCACTTTTTGGAAAAGCGCTGGTAAAAGGCCTTTACCAGCGCTTCTCGAAAAGCGTTGGTAAAGCCTTATCGATGCAGGCTTTACCAGCGCTTTTTAGGACTTCTACCAGCGTTTTTGAGCGCTGGTAAAAGCCAAATCTGTTGTATTGGTAGCGGATTCACTTCCCTAGTCCCTTCTTATTTGTCTTTATCACTTTATTTCCTAGCATTATTGTTTTACGCATTTTTCAATTCCTAATTTTAGTGACAAACCAAACAAAACCCTATGCACCTTCATCATTCTAAAAGTAATTTTAGACACCTTGGTTACCATAATCTAGCAGTCCCAGTGGTTCGACTTACCCGACCAATAACCCTATTTTACAACGATTTGTGCTATTGCAAAGGTTGATGTATAATTGACAACCGATCAATGTGCCATGATATGAGCTTGAGTCTCAGGATTAGTGGTTAGGGTGCATATATTGCATTGGAAAAATGTAGTTGGACATAGTGGAAGTTATGTGCCCTAGTAGGTTTAGGTTCTCATATCCACTATATGTGCATTTTGCATGTTGCCTACTATTCAGGTTGAGGTCGCCCTATAGTCCAGTGGAGTCCCTTTAGTGTGTATCTATATATATATATGGACTATGTAGTTATTGTTGGTTTGACTAGGATATATACGTGTATATGGTTTCAGTTTGGACTTTCATAGAGTAGAACTTGTTTGTAGGCTTGACCCACCATTATTTTTCAGGCGTTCGTCAGTTCCAAACTTTGTGGTTGTTCGTGCCGAGCAGAGACGGTCTTCATCACTCATCTATGTAGGATTCTGCTTTCATTTTAGTATTGGGTTTTGTTACTCAAAAATTGACTCTAGAGGGGGGGTGAATAGAGTCAATGGCTAATTTTCGCAAATTATAGAAATACAATATCTAATCAACAATATAACCTATTGTGCAATAATCAACATATGAAATCAAGATATGAAAGTAAACAATTTTAGCACAATTGTAAAAGAGATAAGAGAAGAGAAATTGCAAACTATAACACGGCGATTTTTGCGAGGTTCGAAAACTCCTACTCCTCGGCTCAAGATCCCTTTTGAGACTTCCCAATCCAATATAGCTTCTCCTTACGGGTGGAGAGCAAACCTTGATTAAAAGTAACTCATTGCTAAGAGAAAACATCTCTTAGTCTTCCTTTGGGTCACACCAACCCTTATAATATCCTTGCTAAGAGACCACCCTCTTAGTTTTACATAGGCCACACCAGCCCTTATAATTTCTTTGCTAAGAGAAACTCTTCCTCTTAGGCTTACAGCAGATTTGTAGATAGAATTTGTAGTACAAGAAATCCTTTCAAGAACTGATACAAATCAAACCTCATAACATAGTATATATGAAATCAAGTGAAGCTCAAACTCTAAGTATGAAATGTATGAGAGATGATGAGGAAAATGCAGAACAAAAGCTCTGATGAAATACTAGAATAAAAGTTCAGCAAAGGCTCATGAAATGCTCTCTAAAGTTCACTATGATTAAGCTATGGAAGCTTGTATATGAGATAAAGATCGATATCTGAACAGAGGCTCTATGAATGAGTAAAACCAGAACAAAAGCTCTGTATAATGGTAGAGCCAAAAGCTCTCTTGGATGCACTTGAATGCTCTCTCAAATAGTATATGAGTGAATGAAAGAGATGAGCAGAAGATATGAGAACAAAAGCTCTCTTTGATGCAATATAATGTCTCTAAAAAATGGTCAACTTATTCAGCAGACAACCACTCTGTATTTATAGAATTTCGAAGCTCAATATAGTTGTTAGAAGTAGTTGGGGAGTAATGAATGAAAATGTTTCCGTTGTAGTTCAAAACCCTAGAAGGAGCTGGCTCTTGTAAACAAGAGGAGGCGACTCCCTAGCCTTAAGAGCCTGCTGTCCATTGCATGGAGACGGCTCCCAGCCTCTGAGAGCCTGCTCCCTATTTTGGGAGCCTGCTCTTTGGTTGGAAGATTAATTTTTCGTTGAAAAATAGCTTACTGGAATGTTGAGAGAGCATGCTCTGTCTTTTACAGAGCCGGCTCTATTCTTTGAGAGCTTGCTCCATTTGTTTGGAGCCTTCTCCATTTGCATGGAGCCGTCTCTAATTTCATGGAGCCTTCTCCATTTTCTTGGAGCCTTCTCAGCCTTCTCCATTTGCATGGAGTCGTCTCTAATTTCATGGAGCCTTCTCCATTCTTTGAGAGCCTGCTCTATCTTTCATAGAGTCTACTTCTTTGGTCTTGAGAGAGCTGGCTCTATTTCTTATAGAGGCTGCTCTTGCTTCATGAAGGCTGTTGCTAAATTGGATTGGATAGAAAAAGTGCATGACTTCAAATGGACATAACTCAGTCCATGAAACTCCAAATGAGGTGAAATTTGAGTCTAAATGTATTGTCTTGAAGTCAGCTTTCTAAAGCCACCGGCTTTGCTCAAAAATTCCAACCACAGTAATGGTTATGGCCATTTTAGTGCAACCTGGTCAGAATTTTTGCAGAGCAGAATCAGGCATCTTATGATGGTTATATCTCTCTCAATTCAAATCCTTTTTAGGTGAAATTTGAGTCTAAACTCAAGGGCTCGAAGTCAGTTTTCCAATGCCACTGGCCTTGTGTAAAAATTCCAACTACACAAATAGTTATATCAGTTTTAGTACAAGCTGGTCTGATTTTTTTTTTTTTTTTGGGCTGAAAATTGTTTCTTTTGAGATATCCATCTTTCTAGCACTTAGGACTTTGATGAATGATTCAATTTTGTTCAAGGCCTGTTTATAAGAGTCTAGGGACATATGAAGATGATAAATTTCAAGTGCATTGTGTCCTAGAGTCATTTACCAAATTTTGGCAACAAAGGCTTTAAAGATGAAAAATTAATTCAATGCCTTTTCCTTTTCTTTTTAGAGACCAAAATAAATGTTATGATTAATGTGCATGGTCTTAGCATTTCTAGCTTAAGTTGTGAGTTCTTTCAAAACTCATGCAAGCTTGAACTAACTCATTCTTAGCAAAGACTTCATATGTTAAATATATATGTATTGAAGTTCATAGTCTAATGCTAATGATGTAGGAGCATAAAAATGATGTATGATATGCATGGTCCTATAGAGATGAGCTTCAAATGAATTCATAAAGACTTTGACATTGAATCTTAAGCTCTCACCATCCTATCTACCATTTTCTTCATTCTTTGACCATGATCATTTAGGCTTGATGAAGACTTTCTTTCTTTCTTTGAAATGCTTTGTGTGATCTTTGAAGTCCGAGTTCTTCTTTAATTTCTTGCACTTTGATGCTTCCTTAAATCCTTTGCTTGAGTGTTTGGAATGCTTGAAATGGAACTTTTAGCTCATCATTGAGGATTGAATGATTGATCAACTATACTTCACTCAATGAAAATATTAGTACTTAAACATCTTTAATGGTTTGTAATCATCAAAATATAAGATTGACCTTTAGATAAAATCCTTGGGCCAACAATCTCCCCCTTTTTGATGATGACAAAACATTAATGTGTTTATTGTCAACGTGGAGCTGCATTTGAAAGAATGCTCCCCCTATCAATAAGCATATCTAGAATATCATATCATGCTTGATTCTACAACAAATATTTTTACAAGACTCCCCCTATCAATAAGCATATCTAGAATATCATATCATGCTTGATTCTACAACAGATATTTTTACAAGACTCCCCTTAACAATATGCATCTATCAATAAAACGCAATAGAATAGACACATAAGCATAAGAACACATCAGAACACATCTTTCTCCCCCTTTGTCATCTCAAAAGGCGGGGGGAATAAAAAAGTTACTTGCCATCGCATGAAATAACAGAGAAAAAATGAATTAAAGGGCAAATGAAAAGCAAATATTTCATTTTGTAAATAACAGAATTCAATACATAAGGAGACTGTGAACACAACTACTATATGATAGAGATTTGAATTGGAGGAGGATTTACTTCACTAGGGCTTGATTCATCATCATGAGTACGTTGAGTATTTCATTTTTGTCCACGAGAAGGATTCTTTCTACGTGAGGATGAAGCCATGAATATTTCTAGAGTTTAGACTGAAATTACAGAAAGAATTCTCTGAATAAAAATCCAATTATCATACAATGAAAATTTCAAGACTCAAATTAGTTTTGGCTGAAGATTAATAGAGGTACTTAAAAGGGTTTTGAAACAATGAACCAATCTAGTTTAAATTTCACATTCAGTCAATTTTGAGTGCTAGGACAAATTTATACTTGAAAACCCCAAAACAAAATTTTATATAACAAGATCTAGAGATTGAAATTGATAAATTCAACCTAAAAGTGGAAATCCAGTAGAATCTTGAAATATACTATCCAAATGAACCATGGATAACACATGTTTAAAATTTATGCAAAGATAAATTCAAAACAAATGGGGTTTGAATTTGGAGACCATAGACTAAGCAATTTTTATTAGAAGAAATCTTTTACATATGAAAGAGAAAAGCTACAGTACAATTAAGGGTTTCATGGAATGATGGATTAAAGGAGATGAGTTTAGAAATTAATCACTAGAATTCATTTAAAAAGCAAGAATCATATTAACTTTAAAGAAAATATTGATGAAGGAAGCT